GAGCAGGAGCAGGTCCTGAAGTCGCCAGCTGCACAGAGAACCTGCACATTGCCAGTGGGCACCTTGGTCCCCAGGTGATAATGCGTACTTCCATGATGGCCCCAGGATGCCGAGGGGACCCACATCCTCAGATGCTTAAGTCACACTGCAAAAGGTCACAGAGCGGTTGGTGTCGCCTACACACATCTCCCACATATTCTAGATCATGCTAGGTTGCTCACACTAACACAAGCAGGGTTGGTGGTGCACAGTACACAAGAGGCTGAGGCAGGAGGATCACAAGCTTGAGGCCAGCCTCGGTTACATAGTGAGTTCAAGACCGGCCTGAACAACACAGCAAGACTCTGCCTCACAAAAATCAACAACAAAAGACGTAATGCAATGTAAAGGGTGGGTACATCACTGGTAATAATAACCAAAAACATACAGCACATACACACTTTAGAAAAGACGTGGAGATATTTCTGAAGTACAGCTGATGACTCCCCCACCGCAGATCCTGCAGAGCTCTGGAGTCCACCTGAGATAGGACAGGAAGTGGTCACAGACTTGGCAGGGTCAGAAGGATGCATCGGTGCGCACAGGAGCTCAGTCATGAGGGCAAAGCAGGAAGCCAGACACTGGCACCACTGCCACCTTGCCCTCCAACTTTCGGTCTCCAGAATCATGCAGAGGCAAGCACTGCTGCTGGAGCCTGATCCAAGGGGCTCCCAAGGGATGCCCGAGCTGCCTGTCACCAAGGAGGAACAGGAGTCACTCTCTTCAGCCGGCAGCCAGCTTCTCCCCAGCATAGCCACAAGGCCCTGATGATGCCCTGAGCTCACCTTGAGCCCACCCCACTTGCGCCCCTCAGGGTGCTATGCCCGGTCAACCCATGGCCACAGACTCTTGATGCTACAGCTACCACCTACCACGCCTGCACCACCCAGCTGTCCTCTGACACCAACAGCCTAGCAGGACAGGGCCCCCAAAGGGTGGCACTGAATTCTATGACCTGGGCTCCACCCTCCTCCCCCAGCAGCGTGGGCTGGAGCCTGTTCCCTGCATTGTTTAGAGAATCAGATACAATGATGTCGCACGCGAGCAGTCTTTATAAAGTGTGAGCCATCACACCGGGTCAGGACACAGCACCCTGAACTCATCCCAGCCCAGAGCTCTTCATCAGCAACTGCCCAGAAAAAGCTGCCCACTTGCCAACACTTGGTTCTTTTTATTCATTTATGTTTGAGACAGATCTCACTATGCAATCAGGACTGACCTTGAATCAACGACCCTCTTGCCTTGGCCTCCTACATGCTTCATTACAGGCATGCACCACTGCACCCCATTCAGCACCGCCTTAGAAGGAGACACAGAGTATCTTTAGCCAAAAGGCCTGACCCAGAAGTGTTTTGGGCTGGGGATTTTTAGATTTTAGAGCAGGTACCTGTGTAATGAGATGTGACCCTCTCAGCCCAGGCTAGAAACTCTGGCCCTGCTCTGGTTACCTGCTGCTACCTCACTTACTCAGCGCCGCCCACATCTTTCCACTGTTTGCAGTGCATTTAAGAACCAGGTCTCAGGAATTCACTGTGTCACACACACCTTCACACGCAGCCTGCAGGTGACTGCGCGCAGTATTTTTAGCACACCTGCACGGTGACTGCAGCCACCATGTGAGGGCAGGTGAGGAATTTTCCACCTGGGGCCGCCTGCCGTGCTCAGAAAGGTTCAGAATTTGGAGCATTTCACGTTTTCAGATTTGTATTTAATCTCCTCGATTTGTATTTAAATTCTGAGCCTGCTTGAAGTTTCTTTGCTTAAAAGCATTATCAGTAAACAATAAAGAAATAAATAAAACTTTACAAATAAAAATACAAGGAAGTCAGGTGAAGTTCATTAACCTGCCCACCAGCAAGACAACCAAGTCTCACCTAGTCTGTCCTGAGGGGGCAGGCAGGGTCATTCTCAGCTACTGCAGAGCCTAAGCTCTGCCCAGCCCACAGGAATCGAAGCCATGACGCAGCTGTGTGCCTTTGGTTTGCTACAGCCAAAACGCAGGTGCACAAAAAGGATGACATAAAATTACCTTCAGCCTTCCTGTTTAAGGTGTCTGTGAAACAGAAATGGATTCTGTGGCTCTGTTTTGTTTCTAAGTTTAGCTTTGAGACTACTAATGATTCACTTGAAATTATCCAGTAGACAGGAACCAAGATCAAATTTTCCCTCTGCTGGAAACTGTAGCCAAGCTCCCATGGTGTGGAGGGGACTCTCAGCAGACCTGTGTGCCGGTGGGAACCAGCACCCTGACACCTGCAGCCTCAAAACCACATGGACCTAACCAGTGGTGCTGGGTGCACAGAATGGACAATCTATCGGACAAAATGCAACACAAATGACCCTCCGAGGAGAATGTCCCAAAAGCTAAGGCAGAGACACAAACATTGTGGTGGCTGGGCAAGGTCAACCTCGTCGTGGGAGTTGGTCACAAAGGGAAAGAAGAGAACCTGAGATGCCCAAGGGGCTGAGCACGGGAGCCCAAAGTCTCGCCGGGGCCAGGATGGCACTGGGATGGGGCCACATCAACCGAAAGAGCCTTTTCATGTCCAGGGCTTCAAGGAGGGAGAGCTGTGACACAGGGATGTGTGTGTGTGTGTGTGTGTGTGCACGCGCGCGTGCGCAAGCATGTGCACACATGCACATTTGTATGTGCACTGGGTGAGGTGTCTAACTTGCTCGTGTTGCTTTACCTTCAGATACAAATGTACCATGGAGTATTTCAACGAGAAACGAAGAAAAAGTGTCTCATCTGTGAAGCTGCACTACTAAATGACCCAAAGGAAAGACTCGCCCGAAGAGCATGGCTGCCCGGACACCAGCACGGAGCAAGGGGCAGTACCAAGCTTTACCTCAAGCCCTTGGAACACACACCAAGAGGGGCTTCCACCTCTCATGTTAAGAGCCGGCAGCAATGTGGAAGCCCCATTTGCAGTGGCTCTGGATGGGAAAGTGAATCCTCAGCCTCGGGGGAGTTGCTGGGAGTTTCCAGTTCCTTTGTGAAAAAAGTGAGCTTACCAGTTTCACAAACACCACAAGCCACCCACCCATAGCTCCAGCAGGCAATCCTGAGCTCCTCAGACTTTGGGCCTCGTTTTGAAAGCCAGGAAAAGATTCCAGGGGCTCCACCACCACAGAGACACAGCAGGCCAGCAGCACAGCAAGCAGCATGCGCGTCCCAGAAGTCATGCAGCCTGGCCTGGCCTGGCCAGGACAGAGTATGCTAGCCCAGAGATCCAGAAAAGGGCATTCAGTATCACCAACGGGCCTTGGGGCACCTTCAAAGCTCATGCGGTCTGTACACCCCAAGGAAGGTTCCTGGGGAAATCGGTGCAGAGAAGAGCAGAGTTCTCAAACGCTATGCAAGAGATCTGGTGTTGGCAGGAAAAGCTCAGGAACGTCGGAATGACAGAGGCTGGAACCTCAACAGGGCCCAGTCCAGCAGGCGTGAAGACAGTATAAGCGCTCAGCATTTGATAAAGCCAAACTCAAGTGGGAAGGACACCGCAGCCACTTCCTCTGCTGCCTTTCGCAGGGCTGCCCATCTGGAGGGGCCCTTTCTGCACCAGGCATATTTCAGGTCTCCATCAGTCCCACTGTGCCACAACACAGGTGCAGAGGGCAGGAGGGCCTCACTGCTCCACTCTTCACCCCTGTGCGAAGTTCTCAGTGTGAGTCTCAGGGAACCACCAGGTCGGTATCCACATTTCTCCAATCAAAGCTATGCCTAGTGTGCTGCCCTGCTCCAGAGCAGCTGGGTCTAGCCCTCTCCCCGGAGTGCCCAACCACCCATCTCTCTACACACCTGCACACACCTGTAATCCCTGTATTAATTCACCCCTTTTACCCAGGGAGCCTCATCGGTGGGGGAGTTTAGGGTGGGCTCCAGACAGCCTGGAGAGGTTTTGATGAGTTAAAGCAGCCTAATTTGTTTTCCATTTTTAAGACTTGCAAACTGCTGTCAATAACCATAGCAAACACGGCAATGCGAAACACACCTAGATCGAGTTTCCTTCCTACAAAATCCCTTGGAGAAGTCCAGATAGCCAAGACCAGGAAGAGACCGCAGGTCCCACCTGTGGGTCCCAGCAGGCCCCGCCCACCGGCCTGAGGGTCCCTTCTTTCTGGGTCAGCACAGGAGCAGGCCCTGAGCTGTGCGAGGCCCTTTAGGACGGACCGGGGCCTACTCATCCCATCACAGGCACGAACTTGGCAGGATCAGCCTCAGACCTGTTGGCAAAATACACAAAGCCAAATAAAGGAGAAACTGAAGCAGCCGGGGCCAACTCCGCACGCGGTCCTGCTTTGTCCCCGGCTGCTGACAGCACTGGTGGAAGTCAGGCGCCCGGAGTCCCCCCGGCGGCCCGCGGACGTTCCGGACAGATCTTCATTGTCCACAAACGAAGCCGTTTGCAAACAGAGCCCCTCCACACAATGCCGAGCGCCGCGCTCGCTCGCTCAGAGTTACCAGCGCTGTCGGGAAAGTCGCCTGCGACTCCTCCAGAGCCACTGGGCGGTGGAGTCGCCCTGCCTGCTCCAAAAGGGCAGGGAGAGGGGAGAAACTTTGCTTCCGGCGGCGCCGCTGGAGTCCTGGAAACCCGGCCGGGCGCAGGGCCGGGAGCGGCACAAAAGCACTGGGCCGCGGCGGGGACCTTCCTCCGGCGAGATGACAGCGGTTGCGGCCCGGCCGTAAACAGTTCCCTCCAAACGACAAGTTCTGCGGCTCGGCCTCACCGCGCGGCCACCCTGCGCGCCCCGCGCCAGCCCCGGCTCGGAGTGGGCGAGAGCCCCGCGCCCCGGGTGGGGGTAGAGGGAGGGAATGGGTGAGGGGCCGGATAGGAGATCGAGGTTGGTACCGTGGTGCAAGCCCGGGTGAGAATCCCGGGGGCTAGGGAGGCGCCGGCGGGGGCGCGGTGCGCGGTGGGGACTCCAGGCCGCGCGCCCTGAGTTCGCGCCTCGCTCACCTCTGCCGCACGGAGCCCCGGGGACGCGGGTCCGGGCGGCGCCGCCTTTGTCTTAACTGCTGCTCCGCCGGCGACGCTGCGGCCGCCGACCCGGCCCGGGAGCCCGAGCCCCGCGCTCCGCCCGGCGATCCACGTTCCTCGCTCCGCGCCGCTCTCGGGCCCGGCGATCCCCGCGGCCGCGGCCCGCGCCTCCCGGATCCGCCCCCTGCGCCCCAGCGCCCGCCCTGGCTCCGCCCCTCCCCGGATCCACCCTCCGTTCCCCCGTCCACGTGTAGCCCCGCCCCATGGCTCCGCCCGCCTGGCTCTGGCGCCAACGTCGCCCACCTGGGGGCGCGCCCAGGACGCGTGCGCGGTGGGGAGGTCCGGGCCGGCCCGAAGGCCCAAGCGCGCTAGCCGGACTGGGACGCGGGCCATCTCCGGCCTCGTGCGGGCCCTGCGCGTGCTCTTTGTGTTCCCGCGGCCAGCTCGGATCGCGATGCGTGGCCGTGGATGAGCGTCCCCGCCCGGAAGCTTTCCCACGGCACCCTCGGGAAAGTGACTGACAAAGGAATGTCACTTCCTCCTCGGCCTGCTGTGGGCATCTGTCTGTGCTTCCTGGCCTCTGTTTACTTTCCCAACTCCACACGTTCAGGCTCCGCCCTGCCCGGCCCAGGCGCTTCCCAGGACGGAACTGCGCCTCGAGTGGGAACCGGGGTCCCACCACCTTTGGGGCTCAGAGGGCGCGAGGGAATCGCGGGGCCGGCACGTGGGACCCTGTGTGCATGCTGCCTGCAGAAGCCAAACCCATAAACTAGCGGGGAAAATGAAGCCCCACACCCCGGAGGAGACAGCTGGGCTTCGCTTTCACAGGGACAGAAATCCAGATGTTTCTGCTCCACTCCCCTCCCCTTGGCTTCCCAAAGGAAATCCAAACCTTCCAGTGACTGCGATTTCCTGGTGGGGTTGCCTGCATCCCAGTGGGTGAGATGCCTTCCTAAGCTCCTGGCTTCTCATCGTTATTAAAAGTGGGAATAATTCATCCAAGATAATGAGGCAGCCTTGTTGGATGACTCTGGCCTGCCCTGCCGCCTTCCCGAAGGAAGTCTCATCTCGGGCAGTGGGCAGCCACAGCGTGGTTAATGGTGGGCCCTTGAACCGCGTGACAGGATTTTCTTTACCTTTCTGCTCTTAACAAGTGAGCTGATGCAGCTTGCCCGTGTCCTGTGTAAAGTGTCTGGCTCCGCCTAGTCCGGCCTGCGGAAGGAGAGACCAGAGGAGGGCCAGGTTGAAGACCCGGGCTGTGTCCACCTCCTCCGCCGGCCTGATCTTGGGAAGGAAGCCACCTCTGTTCACCTATCTGTGCTTCCTTTCTTCATAATGTCTACTTTTAGAATAAGGAAACAGGATCCTAATCTACAGCCTGGGCGGATTTTAAACTGGTTTATTCCAAAGAGGTATAATAAGCCCCCCGTGGGGCGCATGCCTGTGATCTCAGCAATCCGGGAGGCTGAGGCAGTGGGGTACAAAGTTCAAGCCTCGCCTGGGCCACTTAGGGAGACCCTGCATCAACTTTAAACATTGAAAGGGCTGGGGCTGACGCTGAATGCAAAGGTCCTTAGTTTGATCCAGAACCAGGCATACATACACATATGTACACACACACACACACACACACACACACACACAGACACACGTAACTCCATTGACCCAGTTTTTACATCTGTGCTTTGTAAACTTCCTTTGAGCCACAGTTCTCACACCTCTCTCCCTGCTCTGATTCTTAGCTGCCAGCCACATCCCACAGCTCAGCAGCCAGTTCTCAGTCCCTCCCTGCTGCGTCCCTTTCTGTTCCTGTGGCACTTCCAGGGCACTAGCATTCTTCCACACTCCTTCTCCTGGAGACACCCCATTCACTGCCCTTGTGGCTCTGACCCTCCTGTCTCTGCCTGCTCGAAGGGCGCGCTGTCTTCCCAAGCCAGGCACGGCCCTCTGGCCCTCTGACTTTATTCTTATGTGTGCCTGTTCTCTGTGTTTCAGGATGGTTCCCTTCTCTGTGCTCCCTCCCGGATTCCTCTGATTCACTCCCAGCATGGCAGCTGCCCCTCGAAAGCCCAACCTGTCTGTTCTCCCTGCAGGTGATTCAGGGTCTCTCTGAGGACACTTTGTTCAAATGAATCCCATTCCTGTCCAGACCAGCTCTTCCTCCCATCTCTGGCCAGGCCACCTCGGCTCCTAGGAGAAATCTCACTGCCGGCTCTCCACCCTTTGCTTCTCACTGACTGAGCTCCCAGGGGAAGGGAGGATAGGGCCGCAGAGGCCCCGGACCCACTGCACCCTGCCCCATGATGCATGCCCGTCTCTGAGAGCGCTCCTCGCCAGCTCTGCGCCCTGAGGGTCACATCATCCCGGCCATCTTGGGATGAACCGCAACCAAATTCTTCACACATACTGATTCTGGTTCACATAGCAGCATCGTCCCATTTTAAAGATGTGAAACTGAACGCAAGTGGAGAGCTGGGTGGGTGGCCACAGAAACGGCCTCCAGAGCTCCCTGTGTTCCCTCCCTCCACCACAGAGGGGTCCCCTGAGTGCTGGCTCCCCCGACTTCTCCTCACTCACCTGCATGGCAATGTCTTCCTAAAACCCCTCTGTCTCATCGCCCTGCACCCCATGCTCCCCACAGCCTTCTTCCAGGTCCCCTGTGGCAGAAGAATGGAGCATTTGCTCTCAGGGAGATTGAGGAATTCAGCTTTGTGAGGCCACACTAATGTCCTGAGGCCACCTGGTAAATCCAGTCATCGGCTGCAAGCTCCAGAAGCCACCAGCTCTGAATGAAGGTGTCATCTGTCCTCTGAAGGCTGTGGAGACCTCACTGCTCTTCCTGTGTAGGGGCGCCAGTGCTCCTTGGCTTGTGGCACCAGCCTGCCCCATCTTCATCCTCACACCTGTGCGCCCAGTGCCGTCTCTCTGGAAAGACACTGGCATTGGGTGAAAGACACACCCTGAGCCAGGACGCCCTCGACCCAAGGACCCAATGCCTGCCCACCACGTCGCACAGCCCTCTCCACAGTCAGCTCACAGCCACGTTGCTGGGGCCACCGTTCCTCCCACAGTGCAAGCATAGCTCTTCCTTGACACCTCTTTTCTCTAAAAATGTGCGCCACATACATTTCTGAGTCCTGCTTTCTTAGGGCGCCTGTCCTCTGACCACTAAAATGTCTTCAGCAGCCAGTAACAGAAGAGCAGACTATCCAGCCTTTGTCGCCCTCTGTGTGAGCGTGGAGCCTAGCTTTGCTTCCAGAGCCTCCCACCTCAGCCTTGCTTCAGCCCAGCTCCTTCCAACCCTTGCTACAGCAGTGTCCCTCTGGGTCATCTGGTCTCTGCCTGCTGCAGTGTAGAAGCAGTGGGGAATTGCATGTCTCTTACCTCATCCTTCAAGACCTCCCTTGACCCCTGTGTGGCTCGAAGGATGCCCAAAGTTGGGTGCAGGATGGGGCCCCATCAGACCCAGGGCCCTTCAGACATAGGAGCTTGTGGCTTGGCGTCTTTTCCTCTCTCCCATGGGTGATACGTCCAGGACTCCGCCCCCACGGGCACCAGCATCAGAGTTAATCAAGTTCTATCTGTGACACTGCATGGCTTTGGTACAGAGCCTGCACCTGTCATCCCATGTCACAGGTCAGAAAGCTGGTGCTGGTTAATGCACAGAGAGTGACGATGAGGAGAGTCCACATGTATTCAGGAAAGGTGTGACTTTTCCCAGAATAGTTGCAGTCTATGGTTGGCTGAGCTCACAGGTTCAGGGCTGCAGATGGGGGTACTGAGTGTGACTGTGTTGTGAGGATTAAACTCGGTGGAGCAAACAGCTTAGCTGTGGGCTGTGCCCGGTGAAGACTCAAGACAGCTTTGCAGTGACCTCAGCCTTCGCCCGCGCCTCAGTGAAGCTTCTTGAGCGTCCTCCAGCACCACTGGGGTCAGTCTGCATTCCAGGGGGCGGCAGGGAGCACTGAGCATGAAGACGATTTGGGAAAACAGGAAAGACGCAGGCGGAGAACCAGCACACAGCACACTGAAAAGTGCAGTGCGAAGGAACCACGGAACCACATCCTAGGAGTCAGGAGAAACTTTTGGCTCTGGGGCGAGGAGACACTAGAACAGCTTCAAAAGGGCCCCATGCAGAACTGCCATTCCGGTGGCCTGGAGGCCAGGCCTGGGTGCAGCGTAGGCTGCAGATGAGTAGATTCGGGTACTCAGGTTCCTTGCTCTTCAAGGACCAAAGCAGAGAGGCCATTTATTCTGATGAAGAGAAAAAGGAATTTATTCAAAGCCGGCCCTGAGGAGATGGAGGGGCCGTTTGCCTGAGGGCACCATCTGCCCTGTCCAGGTGTGGGGGGTCTTTGACAGCAGGGGTGGTGGGGAGGACCTGCCCAGGCTTTCCTGGACACAGACCTTTGCTCTTTGCCTAGGGGAACGAAACCTGACTTGACCTCCCAGCACCAGCAGTTGAAGATTCTGTCTGTCCCTCCAGGCTGATGAAAGATGGGGCAGCTGTTTATGCCCTGGGCTCCAGGAGTTTTGGAGAAGCCCCTGTCTCTAAGGAAACCAGTCTGACTTCCCAAGTTCCATGCTGCATGAGGGTTAGGGACCTCCAAACAAGAGGGGCTCCTCTGCCTCTGTCCCAAGCCCTATGACAGTGCTGAGAGGCAGCACTGGGGATTGGGCATAAAGTAGGGGAGCGGACAGAGAAGGTTCTGGGGACCAGAAAGGTGCTGAAAAGGTCCCAGGAGTCCCTGCAGCAGCAGTCGCCCCTTGGTCCCTGCACTGTCTGCCAATTGGTGACACTGGGGGTCCCTCCAGTGAGTCCCCCTGTGGCACCTAAGGTGGTCAGAGAGGCTGCATCTACTCACAGCCTAACTCCTGACCAGGGCTGCAAGAGCCCAAAGTGGGTGGGCATGGGAACCCACAGGCCTAGGAAGCAGAGGATGCCGGGAGAGGATCCCCAGGCAGCCAGGGGGGGACCAGGTCCTGGCTTGGTTCAGTGGGCAGTCAGAGGAGCTGTGTCCTCTGCAAGGTGCACAATGTAGGTGCCTGCAGGGAGGAGGAAAGTGAAGGGTTTATCTGAAGTGTCCCTCAGTTTCCTGTGTGTGGAGGTAACAGGCCAGGTGCTTTGCCTGTCTGAGGTTGAGTTCATACTGAACCTGTGGTCAGGAGGTGGGCTCTG